TGCTTCGAGGACTTCCCAGAAGAGCTTGATTGTTGGGTGGTCCTGTTGGTCATCGCCCAGGACATAGATGCCGCTGTACACCGTGTTGCGGCGGAGATCGTTGACGTCAATCTCGATTGCGTCTCCGCCGACAAGGCGCTGTAGCTCGCCTTGGTTGAACATAGATAGCCATGACGGCTGGATGATTTGACCTAGACCCTGGAGGAAGGCATTCGTTTGCAGGTAGGGTTGCAGTTGGAGTCGATGGCGTGCAATGTACGATATGTATACCAGTCTGTTCTGGTTGGTGACGGGGATGTTGGAACCCCCGGGTTTTAGTTCGCGAGTAATGGTTTGCGTCTTCTCTTTGCCTTTCTCATCTGGCACTGACACTGTGTCCGTTACTGTGAAATTCAGAGCAAAGTCTTCCACGTTCCCAGGATAGTTCTTGAGTTGTAGCTATTGCAAGGTTAGCTAATAGGCCATCACGATAAAGGATGAAACTCACCAATCCTTGATACAAGCTCTTATCGAGGTCCTGGACATCGTTTAGATTTGCTCGATAGGCAGACTCCCTCGATGCTGAGCCAGTACCTCCAGTAAGAGCCCATTTCAGCAGAAAGAAGTTGGCGAAACTGACATCCACAAGGATGCCCTCGTAAAGGCATTTCCCTATAATACGCCCCAAGAATTCATACCGCTTCAACAATTCTCGGATATGCTCGTTCCACTCCGGACTCCGTTCAATAATCCCGGCTTCACGCAGCTGTGCCTTTTGTTGTTCAACAGAGGTTGGGTTTGGATAGAGGAGATGCTCATCGTTCTCTGTAAACATGCTCAGCGTTCCAGAAGGATTGAACGCATCGTTTATAATGCTTGTAAGAAACTCCTTGGTGACACCACCTCCATCGATGCCAGCTTCCACAGTATCAAACTGGTCAATAAACGTAATCTGGATAGGCTCCTTGAATGCCTCCCCGAGTGGGTAAAATTGTTCAAAGGCATCTTCAAAAAGGTTTTCCCTCCGTATGTCCGCATGGTGTTTACTTAGGATATCTCGTGCCATGGCAATTCCTTCTTCTGTAATACCCGAGGCACCCTGAGCAATAGATAGTCTCCACGCGTCTGGGTCCACATACCCTTTCCTTCTTCGCACTTGATCTCGGTATATGAACTCTCGGAATATCTGCACCCTGGTGGTAAATGGTATGGAAAAGGGCATGTTCCGAAGGATCTCTAAGCGAGGTGCCACAGCTTCAAGCTCCTTCCGCCGAGAGGTCTGTTGCTGCCGTCTTCTTAGTATTTCCATTCGACGGATGTTCTGCTCCCTACTGGTTCCCACAAGCCCAAGTGACGAGTGGAGAGCCTCTTCAATATCTTCACCTTCCGGCTCGCTCTCGTCGTCTTCATCTTGAAGCTGGTGTCTTTTCTCCTCCTCTGCAACCACAGTAGGGATAAAACCGGTCATGTCAAACCGGTCAGTCATGAGCCAATGGCCATCGGGGAGGAATCTTCGTCTCGAGCTAGAAGCTCGTTAGCGTATGGCCGTTATTAACCTAATAATGGAGAGGGTAGGCTTACTCTCGCTCGTGTATCATTCGTAATAGCCCTGTTACCAACCCCTTAAAATAATGTAGAGGTATCCCAGTCGCACCGCCGAGGTTTTTACTCTGAAGCTTTCGAGCAACTGTTTGATTCGGCTCATGGGGCCCAGATACGCTGAAGTATTCACGCATTTCAAAGGCCTTTTCGGTGGTCTCGGCAGCACTCAATTCAGATGAATTCCAGTAAAGCGTAAACGCAAGGTTTGTCAGGAAAACTGTCAGCTCTTTAACGTCACCCAGAGCAAGAGAGCTCTCCTTAGTCCAGGAGGTATATTTGTTGTTATTGGCTTCAGAAAAGAATTCGTCATCATCTAAAACCTTGAGAAGGAAGGTGTAAAGCTCCAGAAAGATGAGTATAACGGTCCACTGCTGCTCTTGATCGCTCCATTGTCGCTGGGAGTCTTCATCCTCCCTTATAGTAGGTAGTAGAAGCATCTCTAGGATACCATTGGGGTTATGTGATACATTATGATAAACCCTCGTAGCCCTTGAAGCTTGCCAAAAGAATTTAATGGCAGGTAGTTTGGATGTGCTTGACTGTGAATTCGCATGATCTGATGCTGAGCCAAGATAAAGCCACATACGAATTTCATCCCCCCGTTTAGGAAATATTCTCAGCAGAGTCAAGGCATATGTTGCAAGACTTTTGGCATCATCTTCGCTAGTCTGGTGGACATCATTTTCTGCTGCCTGTTCCTTTCCAGCTATCGATAAGAGGTGTGTAATGCTGTTCTGGTTAACCAACGTCAAAACCTCATTCTTTACAAATGGCGGTAATGGTTTCAGCTCTTGGGAGGACTGGGTATCTCCAAACTCATCCGGATCAAGCCTCTGTGAGATGTATGTTGCTGCAGAGCCTAGAAGCATGGAGACAACCTTGACAAAGAGAACCTCTGGTGTCTGGTTCAAAGCCTGCTCTCCTAGTGCATGTCTGTGAAAGTAGATAAAATATGCCAGAAGCCAGTTTCGGGGCTCAACTTGCTCTGCATGGAGGAAGGACTGAGACGACAGAAGATTGGTACTTATGACCGATGCCAGAAGCTTATAGTTCACCTGAGCTGCTATATCACTGATGGTCCCGAGGTAATCCTGAAGATGTGGAAGTGTAAGGTATGTCCGGGCAAACCACTCGTATACAACCAGTGTTTCTGAGGTGATTGGCTGTAACAAAGCAAGAACGGCTTCCGCTATGTTGTCTCTAGTCAAGCCCACGGCAATTTGGCCTGAAGACGGCTTTAGACGTGTAGTGAGCTTTGCCATGACATCATAGTATTTGCGCGCCTGACGCGCCATCTGCTTCGGTATCAATCTCGTGAGAAACACCAGAAGCTGTAGTAGGTCATCTATTGAGAAGGATATCGAGCTAATACGACTGGAAGCTTTGAGGATATCCAGAGTTGTCACCATCAGACGAGAGAGCATGGTCGTCCATTCTCCCTCTGTTGACAGTGACGTACTCTCAACCGTTCGTTGAAAACATTTGGAAAAGTACACCAACCTCACAGCATCCTCCTGACTTGTAGTCTGGGCAAACTGCAGGAGAAGCTGTAGCTGCTTAGCGCACTCCAAGCTGCTTGAATATGCACTGCCTTGCTGTTCGGCAGCTGTGTGGTATCCGACTCCCCTAGCTTTCTCATGGTTATCCCAATCTTTGCGCCATACACTCCAAGTTGTTTTTCTGCTCTTATAGCCCCGCCATGTCCTCTGAATAGTCCGGCTCGAGGTTAGACGCTCCCGTTCTAGCTGGCGCTGTGCTCTCTCCTGCTGTGCAATGGCGAGTGTTGCCTGGGCCCCGTGGACGGATGGGGGCTGACGCTTCACAGGAGTGCCGGAAAAGGGGTTTGTAGAGCGGGTTGAGAGGTTGACCTGCCGGGGCCGACGAGTATTGCCTGTAAACGAAGGAAACATAGCGGAGAGCGCTTGGTAGATGGCAGTCGAGTATGTTATTGTTCGCCTGTTTACTCCGGTCAGGGAGGAAGCATCATGTGGTGGGACGCCAGCAGTGATGAGCTGCCCAAAGAAACTAGCGTAGCTAGACGACGAGCAAAGTCTCCGAGGTTGGTCGCAAATGTCTGTATAGCGCACGTATCAGTCAAGCCATGGTGACTCCGCACACTCTCTCCCTATCTTCCTTTTTGTCTCCTCGAAGACCCGTGGAGTTGTGCCTGGAAGAGGTAGCTTCCATGGATGTGGATGAATCGGCCTCGCTGATGTTCCGGTTGAAGCGTTGGGGGTCCCGCAAGTTGCCACACCAAGGGACATCTTTGATTATTAACCGCGAGAAGCTGCTTTCGCATATAGTTATCTAGATGATTCCACATGGTAAAAGTGTTCAAAGTATTTTCCAGTAGAAACGACAGAGTTATGTTATAGGGTTGTCATATCAGAATTCTGTCTATATAACCGCACCCACGGCTTTGATCATACAAGCAACAAAAACGCCATGAAAACAGGAAAATCCATAAACTCCAAGTACAGTGCTCCGTCTCTATCCAGCAAGGAGTTATTTGCCGGAAGATATATGTAGTGTACAATCCCCAGGTTTTGCGTAGCTGTGTCGGTCATCCGTGTTCTTAAGGACCAGAGGTCGGAATAGAGTCCTGCGCAAACAAATAGGGCCAGTCGATAATATGTTGAAAAATTATTGTTTCTCGTCCTTGGTCGTTTCTGTTTCGACGGATTGCTGTTCTGCATCTATTTCCTCCTGGCGCAATCTCAACTCGTCGACCTCTGGTTCGTTCTCTTCGCTCCACTCCTTCAAGAAATCTTTGCCAGTGTATGCTCGTGGATACGTTGCCTCTTTGTGGCCGTGGTCAATTGTTTTCGTGTATAATGTCCTCGTCGGCTCCATTCGTTTCGTTACAAAGGGTGAAAGCTGACTTGGATTAGCCTCGGGTTATGTCAATCGATTAGAGGATATATACTGACCTTGAAATCTGCAAGACCCTCAGGTACAACATATGTGCGGACCTTCTCCCACTCTATAATGTATGTTCCTTTCTTGCGACCAAAACGTCCCATTGATCCCGTTCGGTTACCTTTGTAATAGCCAGGACCAACTTGCTTTGTGGTCAATCGCAGGCGAGCCTGCATGCACTGTGTAGGTCTGAACATGGCTAGTCGAGAGGGCCCTTCAATGTGTACAAAGCACTAGAACTCCTGCCCGTCTGTCCTCGCTGGTTGTTGATTATCGAGTCGTGCTATTAATTATCAAAATGAAAGCATTTTTTTTTCCTTTGCGCTGAAAGCTTAAACCAATAAGCGCGCGGCTTTTTTCTACGCCTAATAAAAGTGCCGCGGGACCCACTTTTAAAAAAATATTGATAGAGAAAAAAAAGCGGTTCTTGATAAGTTGAACGGCTTTTGTTGTAGTTGCTGTTGAAGCTCATTCTTCACCGAGCTATTCTCTCTGCAACAATGTCGGGAAGAAAATCGAATATCCTCAAACCTCAGGAGAAGCGGTCGAAATCTGCAACGAAAAGACGGCCGAAGAATAATTTGAATGCGCTTGCTACGGCAGAGAAACAATTTCCCACGAAAACGAAAATCCGCAGACACCGACTTGGTGATGATGAGTTTAGCCAGCCTACCCGAAAGCGCGTTATAAATGATGAAGAAGAAGACGATGATGAAGATGCCGGTCGAGCAAAGCGCGTACGACGAGACCAAGACGGGTCAGATATCGATGGAGGTAGCGATAGTGAAGGCAATGAGTGGAGGATAGGAACTGTCGATAGCGATAATGATAGCGATATCGACAGTGATGAGGCTATGGGCGAGAGTGATGAGGAAAAATTTGAAGGATTTACTTTCCGTGGCAGCTCTGCAATGCAGAAAAAAGACCATAGTATGAAAGCCGCTCAAGCTCAAAAGCGCAAAACCAACACCAACCAATTTGACCGAGATGATGGTGATATACTAAACGAGGAGTTCAATGGCGCATCTGACGAAGAGGCAGAGGAAGAAGACGATGACCTTGGAGAGGATGCGGTCGACCTCGCAACCGCGTGGGACATGAATGAGGAAGACTCCGAGGCCGAGGCATCAAGAAGAAAAGCGTCAAAAGAGAAAAGAAAGCAGGTTGATACAATGTCTGAAGATGAAGACGACAATGGCTCCCTATCTGCTGTATCTGATGACGACGAGGAAGATGACGATGATGGGGAATCTGATACCTCTGAGCTGTCGATATCTGATAATGAAGGAGATACAAAGCAAGGCCTCACCAAGCTCCGAAGATTTGTTACCTCGTTGGGACAAGACTCTGGGTCGGCTACATCTACGAGGCCCAAGACAGCTCTCCCGGGAGGAGACCCTACTGAATTCGGGCTGGCCCCCAGCCGAAAGCTTACTGTAGCTGATTTGATGCCCAGCATATCAGATTCACGCATGAAGGGTGCATTGAAACATATTGAAAATGACCTTTCCACGAAAGGTACCACAGGCATTCCTAGGAAATTAGACGTCCCTCTCCCAAAAAGGCAACAGGATAGGTTAGATCGCGCAGCAGCGTACGATAAAAGCAAAGAAACTCTTGCCAGATGGATAGAGACTGTGAAGGCTAATAGACGGGCTGAACATCTTTCTTTCCCTCTCCCGGAGCCGGATGCCCTACAACCGTCTAAGGTTGTGGACTCCAAGCCTAGAACCAACCTCGAAACTACAATTCAAAATATACTGGTGGAAAGCGGTTTGGCAGACTCAAATAATGGAGATGCGGAGGATAAAATACAAGAATTCGAAGAGCTCCAAGCAAAGAAGATTTCAGTTGAAGAGATTCAAGCTCGCAGGGCAGAACTCCGGAAGCAACGAGACCTACTTTTCCGTGAAGAAATTCGAGCAAAACGAATTAAAAAGATCAAGAGCAAGGCTTACCGCCGTGTTCACCGGAAGGAGAGGGAGAAATTAGAACAGATGGAACATGAAGCACTGGCAGCCGCCGGGATAGACATGGATGAAGAAAATCGGGAGCGCAATGACAGGATACGCGCGGAGGCGAGAATGGGCTCGAAGCACAAGGATAGCAAATGGGCCAAGAGCCTGAAACAGACAGGCCGAACCGCGTGGGATGAAGACGCCAGAACGGAAATGGCTGATTTGGCAAGAAGGGAGGAAGAGCTGCAAAAGCGGATCCAAGGCAAACGTATCGTTGATGAGGATGGCGAATTTCTATCGTCAAGCTCTGAAGACGAGGACGACAGCGATTCGGATATGCCAGGATTCAAACTACGGGAGAAAGTGGACAAGCTTGAAAGGGATGGAACGGACCCCAAGGATTCAGGCCCATACTCAGGGCTTCTGTCCATGAAATTCATGCAGAATGCCGACGCAGCACGAAAGGAAGCGAATGAGCGCGAGCTTCGGGAGGTTAAACGTCAACTCAACAGCGAGGAATCTGGCTCGGAAGAGGAAGATTTGCAGGAGGAGGTTGGCCGCAGAAAGTTTGGCACACAGAGCACAAAGTCATCTAATAAGCCTTCCGTGAACCTATCACAAAAGGAAGACGAAGGAGGTCAAGCCAGGAATGAAGGGGCTGAAAACGCTTCCAGCTCAGATTCCGATATTGATATCCGTGTTACCCCCAAACCTAGGCAGCAATCCAAAGCGGCTCCGAAGAAGACCGCTCGCCATGGCTTCGAAGGGACCAAGCAGCAATCTCCAGAGGACGATGAAAACCCTTGGCTGGCGGAAACTTCCAAGAAGAACCGATCAAAGAAGAAAACAATTGGTACTGCGGCAGATGTCGGCCTAATTGAAAACTCCGGCTCAATTGTTGCCCAGGAGCCCAAGCAGCAACTCTCCAGGCAGGGATATCAGAATGGCTCAGAGAAAGCTGAAGTTGCCAATCGGCCTGTTGATGACGACGAGCGGTCCGACGATGAGGACAAAGCTACCATGCCCGTACTTCTTCAAAACGAAGAGCTGATCAAACGAGCCTTCGCCGGGGACGAAGTGCTGGAGACCTTCCGCAAGGAGAAAAAGAAAACTGTGGAAGAGGAGGACGACAAGGTGGTTGAAGATACGCTGCCTGGATGGGGCAGCTGGGCCGGCGCTGGACTGAGCCGATCAGACAAGAAGCGGGTTAAACGCACGTTCACCACCGTCAAGGGGATCAGCGCAGACAAGCGGAAGGATGCAAAGCTCGACCGGGTTATCATCAACGAGAAGCAGGTGAAAAAGGTAAGAAAAACTGTTGGCTGTTGGCCCCTTTCCGGTCTCTTTTTTCTCCTTCTGCGCAAATATCAGTGTATTCTGACACGTTCTTCTTGCACCAGAACAACAAGTATCTCGCATCCCAGCTGCCGCATCCCTTCGAGTCCAAGCAGCAGTACGAAAGGGCTCTGCGACTGCCTATTGGCCCCGAGTGGACGACTAAGTCAACCTTCCAAACCGCAACCAAGCCTCGCGTGATGATTAAACAGGGGGTTATCAAGCCAATCCAGCGTCCTACATTGTAGATTACCACAGACCTTATCGTGTACTTACTCAGCCTTCCGGGAGCCAGCAAGAGATCTATCGCATCTCGCTGCCGCTCCCTGCCCGTTGTCCGGCGTGTGACAACCCATAGAGAAAAATGAATATCGGCGATGTCCAACCACTCTGTTTTTTGTTTTGTTTTCTCCTGTTGTTAACCATGGCCCTGCACCCTGCAGTATGCAAGCAAGCAAGCAAGCAAGAAAGCATCCACCATCCAGCATCTAGATCCTCCGCGTGGGGGCCCCCATCGTTACGGGAGCAATGGAGAAGCAGCGGAAACGAGAAGCGAGGCGCAAGATCTAAAACTACTCGTAACATCCACCCCCAGAGCTCACGGCAGCCGCAAGGTAAAGTAGTGCCGGAAACATGGAATGCTCGCAACGCCTGCCACCGGGCGTCATCTCCATAGTTAATAATACTCTTTGCTCTCGAGAACAAACATCCGCTGCCCTTCCTCGCATCCAACAGACGCTCGCCTGTGTAACCCTTCCAGCACCTGCAGCGTTGACGGCCGACTTGGTGACTCCATCAGCTGATGGCTGCGGCTTCACAGATGCATCCCACAGATCTGCCATGAGGAAAACCACCCCATCATCATCATCATCATCACCATCATCACCATCACCGTCATCATCACCGTCACCGTCATCATTATCGTCGTCATGAAGAGGTTGCCACACCCCTCGAGATCGAGCATCATCTTGTGGCCAGGCTGATCGGCGTATATTCCCTCTTTCTTTTTGCTTTAGTCGCACTAGCTAACTTACTGCTCCGTAGTTACCGTGGTGACGGAGGCTGTCTGTTCAGGGTCACCAGCCACCAGCTTCCAGGATTCCAAAGTCGACCAGCTTGGGGGCTGGGAATTCCATGGTGATATGTCTGGAAGCACTCGACCGACCCCCAGCCACAGAGCAGGTCAGAGCGGTTGCCATGCCGTATCCAGGGTCAAGCCGACGCTTAGCACGCACGATGCCTATTCTGGCGGATATCGGACGGTGCTCGACCGGCTGTGATTCTGGCTACCAGACAGTCGTTGCTTGTCGTTCGCTAGTTAGCCTCTGCCGAGGTGGGGAGGAGTATCAAAACATGGACGCTAGCCAACAGAAAACATGATTACAATTGCTAGTCACCTAGGGCAACCCACGCATCAGTCAACATATGCATCGAGTGAGATCGAGGGTCCATGCATGCATTGCCAGTAGATTCAGCCGCAGTACTCCGTCGAGTTACATAGCAACAGCAGTGTTGCGGTGTCACAAGGATTGCGTCCAACCAATTTTAGCTCCCGCAGCGCAAGGGAGGCAGGCAGAAGCAAAGTGAAGCACAGGGAGAAGAATCAGATGGAGGGACGGCTCCATTCTCTTATCTAGGAAGATCTAGCAGGCCATCAGTCCCCCTTGCGGCTTCCCGGTTTCCGTTGATCCGCCGCATACTTCGATCAACACGAGAGAGAGAGAGAAGAAGAAGAAGAAGAAAAGTCAGCTGTGGACTCTCATGATATTTACTATTATAGAGGCGTGTTTCCTGAAGGGCATCCTGCTTCTTCTCTATCATTCTCATACCCTTTGATTCCAGTTCGTACATGGAGGTCACACTTTGATATCTGCCTTCGCCACGTTTTTTTACCTCCTATACTAAAATAAGTCTAACGAGTGGGAATAGGTAAGTAAGAAACTCGACTAGCTCACCCGAGCAGTCAGCGCATGTCATGCCTGCCCCATACTTTGCATATAATCGAGCTCATCTGGACCGCTTTCCTCCGCCTCATGCGCCTACTTGCCGCTCCACTCCTTGATGGTTGTTTTTGTCCCTTATCACCAGAACCCTTGGCTTGCTGCCCTGTGTCATTCTTCCCTCTCTATGGTCTCGACACACCACTAATACATACCTCCTTTCTTCCCATTCCTCCGCCTGACACTATTCTCTAATACCTGATACCCTTTCCCTCTATCCATCCGTTCCAATGAGGCTCCAGGAGAACTTCCTGCCACAATGTCTGCATTGCTCGTGTGCCTTGCTCTTCCCACATGCGGTCTACATATGCGCTTGTGGGGAGGTCATCTAGGAGCTTGTATATTCCCGTTCTTGACCAGATGAACGGATTACTCCATTTCTCCACCTGCAGCAGACTTGTTTATTGCGACTTAGATGGGGTTCGCTCTTGGAACTTCTTCGAGATGCAACCATATATCAAGGAGCCGGACTACGCTATCTTGATCTATCCTTTCGTGCTTGTGGCTGCATCCATCGTCCCCTTTGATATTTAAACCCCCCTTACTCGGTGTCTCAGGCACCGTTGCAACTTGTATTTTGCATTGCGAAAGTGTTCTTTTTATTTTATTTTTTCTATCATTTCTACCCCCAAGCCCCTTATTCCAACGCACGATGAAACCATACACTACACTGCCAGGAGTGGCAGTGCTAGTGTCTCTGTTAACTCAGAGTGCACATGCGGCCCCTTTCCCTTCCAGAGCTGATGCGGGTGAACAGGAAAGTGCTGCAAGGCCACAGCCCATCGTATATAAGCACGAGCGAGGGGTGAACAACGAGGTACGCTGTCACCAGAATTTTAAAGATCACTCAATCTTCCTTTTGTCAGAAACACTAAGATAATTTGACCGTCAGATTCCATACTTACCGCCTGATCCCCAAGGACACCCTACTATCGTCCCATTTCCTACTCATATCTCTTACTTGACCTTCAATTCACGGCCAGGTGCTATTCACCCTCCATATCCTCATCTAGATATTAGTGAGGCTGGCATCAAGGCAGAAGATTCTACTTGCTGGTACCGCAACAAGCCCTGTGAAGGTGTACCACATATCCCCATTGTGAAAGGATTTGACTCCATAGAGAAGAGGTCTCCAGCACCACAACGACATCCCCCAGCGCCTACCAAAGCGACAGCTGGGTATCAGTTCGCCAACTGTACGAGTACTTCCAGCCCTGGGCCAACAGCAACATCTCCATCTTCAGGGATTCCAAGCCAACCCAGCGCACCTCCAGCAACAATGGCGGGCCAGGATATCTTCCAACCAATTGCGAAGGACCCTATTCCTGCCAACATCAAGTCAAGGGATGACCATCCAGTTGAGGCTAACCACATTGTAAGTTGCCTATATAATGCGAGTATTTGTGTTTTTCTGTCATTAACTAACCAACAACCTTTAAGGAAAATCCCACTGGTCCAATCTCAACCAACAAATTTTACGCAAATTTCTTCCTTGGTAACCAGACCTCTACTACTTTTACTCATCCATACACTATGATTTGGGCAAAAGGAGACAAGAACGCATCTAGCTTCGGCATGGCCATATCCCATGTTGAACCGTCTCAAAGGGCTAATGGGGAGCCTAACAATAAACTCCCGGGAAATCCCGTCAGGTATTACATCAACCCTGTTGGTATCAAGTCTATCGTTCTCTCAGCGTCTGAGCTCAAGGAATCAACCACCATGTCTGTGGCCAAGCCTCAAGCTTTCTCTGCACAGGCCATCCTTCGTCCAACGGGAGGAGCCAGTGAAAGTATCACCTTCCCGTTGGTCCAGGGTATGGGTTTCATCACTGCCATCTACAATAACTTGCAGCCTGCAATTCAGTCAGCTGTCCTTTTCCGAAAAGTTGAACCAGCTGGATCTCCCCAGGGCGGTATCTTCAAGTACAAGATTACTTTGGAAGACGACAAGAACTGGCTCCTTTACGTTACTCCCGAAAACGGCGCTGACCCCAAGATGAAGCTTGAGAACAACAAGCTCATCAGTGGACCTACTGGCTTCAAGGGTGTTATCCAGGTAGCTAAGAACCCCTCTGCTGAAGAAGGCGAGGGTATCTACGACAAATCCGCAGGATCTTATCCTACTGATATCAAAATTTCCGGCTCCGTCGGCACTGATGGAACAGGTACCTATAAGTTTTCTTTTGAAAAGGCAGGAAAGGGTGCTCCTCTTGTTATGTACGCTCTTCCACACCATGTTGAGTCTTTTGACGATGCGACCAAGAACACCAAGAAAAACATGAAGCTTAGCACTACCACCAAGGGTATGGCCACAGCTTGTGTTGGAGATTCATGGACGATGGTAGAGGGTAACCTTCCTCTGTCGATGGACTTTGCACCATGGAAGCCCGGCTCAGCCTCACAAGTTACCCTTTCTGAGGGTGCAAAGAACGCTATCAAAGCTGTTGCTGGAAACGAGTTGTCGCAAGACATGGAACCGCAGACAAACCTAAACAGCATGTACTTCAGCGGTAAGGGATTGAACAAGTTCGCCGGCGCCATCTACACCGTTCAGGAGCTTGTGGGAGACAAGGCTGCTGCTTCAGGCCCTCTAAACAGCTTGAAGGAGTCCTTTAAGCGTTTTGTTGACAATAAGCAGCAAATTCCCCTTGTCTATGATAACGTTTGGAAGGGTGTTGTCTCCTCTGGTACCTATGAGAAGGGTGATACAGGTCTTGACTTTGGAAACACCCTCTACAACGACCACCACTTCCACTACGGTTACTTCATTCTTACTGCTGCTATCCTTGGAAAACTGGATCCTGCTTGGCTGGATGCTAACAAGGTATACGTTAACATGCTCGTCCGAGACTCTGGAAATTCTGTCGACAATGATGAGCATTTCCCCTTCTCTCGTGCCTTCGACTGGTACCACGGCCACTCTTGGGCTAAGGGTCTCTTCGAGTCCTCCGACGGTAAAGACCAGGAATCCACTTCCGAAGATACCATGTACGCATACGCCATCAAGATGTGGGGAAAGACCAGCGGTGACAAGAGCATGGAGGCTCGAGGAAACTTGATGCTTGGAATCCTTGCCAGGACCTTGAACAACTACTTCTTAATGAAGAACGACAACGTCAACCAGCCTAAAAATTTTATTGGCAACAAGGTTACCGGAATCGTAAGTCGTCACTCCTATCTCAACAGAGTATTGAACTGCCCCTATTAACCCCAACTTCTTCTCTAGTTGTTTGAGAACAAGATTGATCACACCACTTACTTCGGTGCCAATCTCGAATACATTCAAGGGTAAGCCACCGGCCCATGCTCCTGTTAGACGATATCATAATTACTGACCTTTATAACAGCATTCATATGCTTCCACTTCTGCCAAACTCTGCCTATACTCGAAGCGCAGAATTCGTCAAAGAAGAGTGGGAAGCCATGTTTGCTTCTGGCGCAGCCGCTCCCGCCGAAAAAGTCACTGGTGGTTGGAAGGGTGTCCTCTATGCCAACTTGGCTATCATAGACCCCGAAGCCTCCTGGAAATACTTTTCCCAGCCCAGCTTGGATCTCTCCTCGATTGACGGTGGTGCCAGCCGTATCTGGTACCTTGCATATGCTGCCGGTGAGTATTCTACCTACGTTGCTTTATGATGCAAGTTCTAACCATGTAATCTACTACAGGCCTCGGAGGCGGACCAAAGTGAACACCGCATTGAACTTACCTTTTTCGATCACTATTGTACAAGTAACAATTCTTGTTACCAGGCAATTTCCGTATTAGAGTTACGAAGTTAGAGCTGCACTCCGGTTTCCGTGTACCTCTATATGCATATACCCATAGTATATTTTGGCTTTCTGCTTTATTTCTGAGGCAAGATGTATAACTACCTCAAGTTCCTTTCTTTCTTGCACGCTTTGTTCTCATACTTTCGTTGAAAAGAACATATCACATGATGACAGTATGACGGAAATGACATGACATATAACTTTCACTTGAATATATATTTTGATATTCTAAACTACGCATTACTTTCGGCATTACAACCAGGAGACCCACCACCCACTAGATAGGATGTAATACTACACTGTTATAAAAGAAACTAAGTTTCGCTGCATAGCCCCGGGTGACTAGAGCATGTGAGCCGAGGAGAGAAAGGCAATCTTATGAAGAGACGGCTTAATACAAGCCAGGCTATCCATATCACCTGCTACTGCTATAAAACGCGGCCACGAAGCGCATTTCACAGTTTAGAAAGGATACGGCCATAAAATTGTGGGCCCTGCCATAGCTGCATATCTTCATTTCTAGTAGTTGTAATTGGAACAAATCTGCATGCACTTCATAGTTGGGGGTTGTACACTTCTAACATGCAAGCCTCAAACAGTGTGTGCCGGTATTGGTGAGAAAGGAAAAGTATTTACAAGTTGGGGGTCATGGCAAGCTCGCCCATAAATCCAACAACAACCTTAGCATGCTCCAGCATGTGGTTGAAGTCCAAGTTGGCAATAACATCATCAGCAGTGTGGAGGTATGGGTTGGTGTTACGGAAGTTAGTCTCAGCAATAAAGGATGATGGGAAGCCGTTTCGGTGGGCGGAAGCATGGTCAGAGCAGGCGTAGCCACATTTGGCCTCGACGATTTTAAGAGCAGCATACTAACTAGAGTTAATATATGTGGATATCAAATGGGAAAAGTCGTAAGAGATAACTTACCTTCGCAACAATAGTCTTGCAGAACTCGTTCAATTCGGCGTTGGTGTTGTCAGTAATAAGACCAAACTGCTCCGGGTTGCCCTTCTTGGTAAATCCAGTGAGATCCTGGTTAAGCATAGCCTTCACCTTCCTTCCGTCGGCCTTGTACTTCTTAAAGATGTTGTTGGAACCGAGCAAACCACCCTCCTCACCGGCATACCAGTGGAATTCCAAGGTATTGGTAGCGTTAGCAGCCTGAATAGCCTTGGACTTCAGGACATTGCGGAAGGCTTCGAGGACAACAACAGTCCCACTTCCATTATCGTCAGCACCAGGAGCGCGTCCCTTCATAGGGTCCTTCTGGTTGATACTATCCTGGTGGGCTCCAACAATAACAGTATTCTTAGAGGCCCCGGGAATAGTAGCAATGACGTTAAATTGCTTAAACTTGTTGGTAAATTTCTCAACTTTGGCTCCCTTAACCCCAGAGGCTTGGATAATCTTCTGGACTTCGTTAAAGACCCATGTAGCGGATTCAACGCCAGTGGGTGACTCGTAGTAGCGGTTGTTGAATTTCACTAGGGTGTTAAGATCGCGCATAAGGTTCTCCTTAGACAGACCAGCGATCATAGGGTTTACGACGGCCGCATGAAGAGCAGACTTTGGGTAGTTTGCAGGAACAACCTCAGCCGTAGTAAAGTCGGTGCCAAACTCATCTGTAATATCAACGAAGCCTTGTCCAGCCTTGTAAATGGAGTTAATATACTAAATAAAATTTCATTTCATATATTAGTGTATGAAGGACATACTGCTCTCATCTCATGCTTCTGTTGCTTGGTAACCCATTGAGTCTCTCCAGGGCCGAGCTCAATCAGAAACTTGTCGTTTCCAACACCGTCGGGGCGAATTGGGCCAGCAATTGCTGTAGCCGCAAAGGCAGAAACCACAGCAAGGGTAGCAATTTTCATTTTGACTGCACGAGCAAGGAGGTATGGCTATAACGAGAGAGGTTGGCTTGACAGTCTGCTCAAAAGAAAGAGAAACAGAAGTAAAATGCTAGCGACTGAGGAAGGTAGGCAGTCTTATATATCGTCTCCATTGCAGGTAAGATTAAGGTCCAGCTGGAGACATCCTGCCCTCGGTGTAGGATGATGCATGGTACCCTTAGGACCCATCGTTATCATCCATGCAGAAGATCAATGTCCGCTAGTAGCCACGGGGAAGGGAGATGCTGGGTGGAAACACGAGGATTACTCGCCAGGGACTTAACCGGGGTAACAAATGGCAGATCACTGAGTTTATTTACTTAAATATAGCGAAATAGTCAAGTAAATAATACCTCATCGATCTATGGGACTGTTTCGTACGTAGTATGAAAGGCGATACTCCGGATTAACAGGGCACCAATTCAAAAGGGCCACATATATGGATAACTGATTAGACTTGTACTGGACATGGCAGGCGCCGGGACAGGAAGCACATCCGCCCTTGGAATTAAACCACAAGGGGCCGAAGCATTTTCAAAGTCTTCCATTTGTTCGCTCATGATGCTGGAAAGGTTGGGGTTCCTGGCATGAAACCGCAGCGGAAAACTCGCGTTTCTCCATATCCGACCCTGGCCACGAATGTCTACTAGGTACCATGCCCAGCAGGCTGAATCCACCCCCACAGAAGGCCGAACTCCATCCCGAAGCGGGGTACACGGGGATGCCTCATCCAGCTCTAAGCAGTCAGTGTGACGAAGAGAAGCAAATATATGGCTAGCGAGCCTTCCGAATGGACACATATATATATAGATCCATGATGCTCACCAGGTGCCACGGCTGAGAGCGTCCGACGAGGTTTGACAACCACACCATCCTCGCTTTGGCATATTTGGATACTAAGCCATCCAGTGGAGGCGGGAGAATGAGAAGGGGTTTATCGGGTAGGCGGGGTGGGGGTAACGACAGAGTTCGAAATCACTCTACCAAATACTGGGCAGCAGGACAAAATATCGGGTACAGCCAGCGCTTAACATCATTTCCTTAACTCACAGAGTAAGAATCACAGCTTTCGAGGAGTATTCTAAGCATGGTATACTTACAGATCCTCCGTTCAGTGCCTGCAAAAGGACGCTGAGGTTAACTCAAATAGAGTGTTCGGATAAGCTTCAAGATAGACTTCAGACTCAAGTAGCCAGTTAAAATGAAGCTTGGCAATGATTATATAAGCTCAGCCTCTGGCTGATATTTCAGCGTCGTTTTGAGTCCAGCAACTTCCATGACACGGATCGTCATTCGGCAGCTCGATCTTGCTGAGCATCTCCCGAAGATGACCGATCTCCTGTTTATCTCACCCACAGTCTAGAATGGTACCTTATCTATCCCAGCTCGTCAGCCAGATTTTCGACGATCCAGAACCATGCACCTGGGATCAGCTCCTCTACAGCCTCTATCTGTTGATAGCGTGTTATACTTGGATATCTATCAACCATTTCCCGTAGCGGTTTGGTTGAACCTTTGAACGTACTTCTCGAGATGATCTAAAAGAATGAGATAACTTAATATATATAAAATCATTCGAAATAGCGTACTAATTGTAACCGAGGGTTTTAGAAACTGTAATTTTGAGCTATGTAGCATTGACGAGTTTAAAACCCCCTTCAAGACAGCTTTATGAGATGATAGAGCTCTATCGCGATGTTAGTATTTCTAGCTTGTTGAGGTGATTTAATATCCAGGCAGAATATGAAGATACGGCAGGTGTTACCTGCAAGGGGCAGAGGAAGTGACAATGGGTGGTGCCATTACGTAGAAGGAGCTATGGGGGATAGAACAGTCATACATAACGAGATAAAACGCCCTCGGGCATTCATCTTCTCACGAGACTCTCAGCTACACAAACCGATATACTAAGGCTATAATAGTATATTTTGAATTCGAGAAACATCCTATGATACACGCCATCCTCCCGACTATTAGACCCCTACGCTGTGTCGCTTAACTTACAGGAGGGCAAAACGATTAACACCGCAGAACGACGAGTAGACAATAATGAGCGTCGATATACCACAGATCACCGCGCCGCCGCCGGCTTTCGAATCAGATATCCATAAGCATACCCATCCTTCAAGCCCCAAAAGGCGAGACCGACATCACTACAGTTCAAGTGAACATCACCATAGAAATTCAGGAGACGGGCATAATACCGCCACGATGAATACTGTCGATATCGAGCCACCTGTTTATGCTAGGATTTCTCCATCAGCCGAGAAAGAGAAGGTCGAACAAAGGCCGAGAGGATGGGCAAGCCGGAGGTATCCGTCCCGCGATCTGGAAAGTGGAACAAGTGGCAGTGAGACTATGGTATCTTCCGGCGCAAGACATTATTCCGCCCGGTCAATGCCAGTATTTGACGATGAGTACTTCTATAACTACGGTAAACAGCCTCGAATGAGCCGCTGGCAGAAGTCAGAGATGAAATACCGACGTTGGTTGGACACTATGACACAACGACGCAGAACAAAGCTGGTTTTCCAGGTCATGTTGGCAGGGATGATAGTGGGTATACTTTTGGGGCTGGCATTTGGCATTTCAGATGAATAGATCAGGCCCTTTTGAGTGCATCCAGGTGATCTCTATCTGTTGATGAAGTTATGAATCCTTGTTACGAGGTTGGAGGGTTTTTTCGGATTATTCAGGCAGGAATGCAGGAGAGGGAACCATGTCTTTTCACCGAGGAGTTTCAGCGATGGTTATTCTTATGTAGTCCTCGATGGGCATTCATACTTAACCACGACACCGCGTCAGTAGCTATCAAATTAATGGATCGGGAATGTTTTCTCTCTGTCTCGTTTCTGACAAGTTCGGGCATGCTGAAATGATTAGGTAATAGAGCAGTTCCTTTCACGTGACAAGACTTGCTAGCGGACTTGGTATAAATATTTTGGCCCACCACGAAAATTCTTTCACTTTTTCTTCCTCTTCTTCTCTCCAGATCAAAAATGCTAACAGAACCAGCCACGACCGTCATTTACAAAATACAACCCCAAAGTGATGTGTTGCCATAGAATCTAGTTTACTAGTTTCTTACGGTTCTGGAGAATATTGTTCCTAGACAGGAAGTTCCTCTCCCGTTGAGTCCTTTTAAATAAGGGCGATGGGAATGGAATGTCGAAGACGGGATACATTTCTTTAACCAGCTAGTTACCACATCATTATACGCGTATATCAGCTGTTTCTCAGGGCCGATGGGGTAGTGCAATTGTACTCTGTAAATAATCTGCAAGAGATGCTCCTAGCGTAAATTCCTAAATTCGTTGATATGCACTTTCGCAGTCCGGAGCGAATTCAAATGTAAAAGCAATCATGCGTCAGGCTGGAATATTCCTCCATCGCTATAGCGAATTGATCACTTGGCACTGTATATTTTGATGAGAGATAAACATATAACTACTGAGCCTGTCCACCTTAGAATGCACGGACATCTCATACCATATCAATAACACCCCCAGTACTAAAAACTCGCCAAAGTTGGGGCGTGGCCCCCAAATCTAGGCATGCAATGCACGGAATAATCCTACGAATTGCCTATAATGGCAGATACCCAGCCCAAAAAAGGATCCCTTGGGCCCTCAAAGTAGTTAGAGTGAGGATGTGGTTGGGGTCAATAATCAACTCTAGTCCTTGCGGCAGCAGATCACAACTATCTGGTCGAAGCAGATACAATGGTTAAATTAGGCGAAGGCTTATAATGAACCGCGTACCTGTACATGGTAAACCTTTTGCATGGGGTTCTGCCTAAATTGGAAATGTACCCGTTCAATATCTAGGCTCGACAAATAGATGCATGTGATATTGAGTCCTGTTGGACGGACAGAATGTACTCGGCCTTCATCCCATGAAGCTCTAGCCAAAAGAAGAAATCGCTGGCTAATCCTGGGCCACCAGGAATGACTACCTATGACAATTTCTGGTAAAAATATGCTTGCCCACCTTGCATATCGGATCCTTCGTGAAGTAAACTGGCCCACGACAGCCGTAACGGTTAATAGGGTGGTGCAATTTGATGTAGACTACACGACGCATGTTGTGGTTATCCCATTCTTCCCTTTTAGCAAAGGGTGAGAGCACCCAGCTTGCTAACACCAATAAACAAACGTATATCATTATAAATACGGCAATGAGGTAGTTCAATCCTGCAACATGTACTCGGCTAGACATGAAGTATGAGATCGAATCAACATATCATCACCATATGACAGCACAAAGAGACACGCTTGGATAGACGAAACTGATGTCGGTCTCATATTCCAGCAGTTGGTGTTATAAGTGGGTATCTATCCGGCCGCACGAGATATAGTGAGTTAGTAGGAGGTCTGACGTGGACAAATGGGAGGCGAAGGGCGGCCGGTGATATCTTTGTGTCTACTGGGATGATGTTTACCCTTGTTAACCGCTTGAAATTTTTGTTGTTGGAGCCTGAGCCGTGTTCAAGCCAAGTAGTTTCGTAAATGCCCTGACTGGAATAAGCTGAAGGTACCGGACAGGAGAGTCAAAAGTATAACCAGCGGTAACATGAAAGGCATCCACTTTGTCCAAATATGGCATACATCTGAGCGCTCAATGCAGGACAACAGGTTTTCAAAGCAATATGTTGGCTTTGCCCCGGCAACAATAACAGTCTGCTATCTGTTACTTCACATGAGACCTAATCGGGAAGTCTATGAGTGATCTGTAAGATCTGGTCAATATTTTAAGGTCCAAAATAGACTAGTACCCATTAAGGCTCACTGAACTGATCTAGCAGGTTGTGAAGTCAAAAAGCGAGGTACTTGCAACCGCACACCATAACTCGAAGTAATCACTCGGTAAACAAAAACAAAGCTCTGTGCGCGCGTTTCGTCAACCGGGATTTGGATTCTGGTCCCGTCAGACAGGGGATATATTGCTTCGACATATTGCGTGCTACCCAATGGGAGGTACCACAATCCCCCGCCATCCGGGGTTGCTAGCATAGACGCTTCAGGAGATACTTTGTGATCAAAATATCTCTTTGAGCATTGCTATTCCGGCCAGTTTTACCGCTGAAGAATCGAACTATTAAGCGTAGAGGCCCATAAGCAATTAAACACAGGAGTTCAATGCATGTCCTGTTAGGTTTCGAGAATGGTCCGGTTTGATATAAACGAACAGGCCATACCACATGGCGGTAGCTTAAATATTGTGAAGAATTCCTAATCAGGAAAAGACGGGTGGCAAGCTGGCCAATCCGAGAGTAATGATTTGTCGCCGTGATGGAACTATTACCTGCACATACCCGCCTAAGAATGACATGCGTCTCACTGCACCTGAACCATGATAGAGAGCCAGGCGGTTACCGCCGTCAGAGGGATCGAAGTGGCTGGGGGGCGAGTCACCGTTGCTGCAGTGACGCTGGATTGCCGCTGGGGTGGAACTGCCCCCGTTGTCGCGCGCGAAGGCGTCAGGGTATCGAATACCAACCAGCAGCAATGCTGAAAGAAGACCTGCAACATACGCGCTCTCGACGGAGAGAGACTGGGGGATGATTGGATGACAGCCCTGGAGACCATAATTGGCATTAACATTTTGATATTGTACACCTTCGGCGGGAACAGAAACACTTGACTCCTGGGCGCTTGTCTCTAGCAAGTGGCCTGGAAAGGCACATAGGCATGAAGAAATTTTCTCTTTCTTCACAGACAAGGCGTGTAAATGCGAGTATACCTGTCCATCGAGTTTTCAGTCAGACCGAAAGATAAATAGGAGCCAGTAGACCGGAATGTTGGTTCTTTTCACCAACCCACGATTCCAGCTTCTTTCATCCTCAGCACAGCCCAGCTGCCTATCCTCATAACAAACTTCACCACAAAGCGCTCTCCTCATCCTCTCCCGCTATCACCTGTCTTAACCAAGACTCGACTAGACCCGAGTTTATTCAGTCATTAATTATAAGAGATCATCCATCTCAAGTCAGGTACGGAATAACATAGTGCCGTCAGATATGGTGACCTTGGACTGACATAACAACAGAGCAGGCCGTCCTGTTGAACGGGGCGTCAACTTAACACTCTCCACTTCTCTGCACTGATCCCAGCCTGCTCAGCCCATCACACCGACTCATCACGCATCCCTCGCAAAGCCAACACCTGCATATCACCATCGCTGTCGCTCTCTGCAAAACGCTGCATCAACTTGCATCTTGCGCCCCTTTCTCAGGGTTGTGACTTGTGACGAACCAGCCAATCACAGCGTCCAACGCGCCCTGAGCCCTAACTTTGGCCCCAATTCGGGCTTGCATTTAAGGTTCACGACGCTGTGACCCGCTCTGCCTTATTAGGCCTAGCTTAGTTTCTAATCCTGGAACCGCTCCTATTCCCCTTACGGCCAACCTACCCCACCATTTGCGCTCTGATTCGTCAGATTTAGCCGCCCAACTTTGTGCTTCTGAGTTGCAGAATCAGAAGAAACATTGACCGGGGGACATCGCCCTCTCCTCCCTCTTCCTCCTCTCCCATCACCTTGACATTTCCCATCGTGAAGTTACGCCGGCCGTTCTTCACCTGCATACACACTTCCACTTCGATTTTTCGCAAACAACCCATTGTACATTGTGGCATTGCTCCTTTCTGGAAGGCTATTGGATCTTATAGATCGAACCCCCCCTCCAGCACCGTCCATCGTCTCCTACGCTGCGCGATTACACCCACAAATTTGTAAGTGCCTTTCACAAAGAGGTACTGGCTACATACTCCATTTCTAGGAGGACTTACTTTCGGCCCCTGTCATATTTCCCGGCCATTCATCTTCTTGTTGAAGACCCCGTTAGTTCGACGGCGGCATATCCCATTCTTAAACTTCCCTTTCCCGCCCTTCGAAACAATAGTCCATTCCCTTGCGCTCCCCTCTTTTTCTTTACTGCGCCTGTCTTCTTCCCTTCTCCCTTCCAGCGGCCTTCTCATCAACCGTTCGCAGTCTCAAATATCCGCCTTTCGAGACTCTCTCGTCCATCATGGCGCCAACTGCAAAGCCTACTCTCGCACCTCTGAAGACATCCAAGTCACCCACCTTCCCTTCAGAATTGCACGATAGTCCACTTTTCTCTGGGAAAACCGAGTCCATCAAGCAGGAGGACTTTCTCAGAACCCCTATCACTCCACCTACGGCTTACACGGACTTCCTCAAAACTGTCACTCCAATCGTTGCTTCGCCATCTAGCTCAAAGGACAAGAGCTTCGATCGTCTAGCCGTCTCCATATCTCATCCCTCTACCGCAACTAGCCCCTACTTCTGCAACTGTTCAAATTCTTGCCGCAAGTCACCCACTGTGGCATCGATCACATCTTCACCAGTTGCTCTACATCACCACTACCGCAGCAGTGACGGAGTTCGGAAAACTCCCACTTCTGCAAAACCGCTACGCATCTCTGCTCCATCTCCAAAGCTGACCTCTCCCAGCTTTGATTCTCCCCGCTGTTGCTCTGCCAGATCTCCATTACCTCCTCCAGACTGGATTACTGAGTCCACCACCCGACAGACTGAGACACCACGATGCTCATCTTGTTCGAGGCCTATCAGTGTTCGCC